AAGAGGCGAAGCGCGGTGCTAATACAAGGGGCGGAGGGTTTTCAAACATATCCGACACCCCCCCATTGTAATCATCCAGACCCTTCACTTGAGATTCCCAAGAAGTGGCTTGAGTACTTGCCAATTGCCAGGCATGCCTTGGCGGTGGGCATTCTTGCGGAGATCGACCGCCGCAGCAAGAAAAAATGCGGCAAGAGAGGGCGGACTATGGGCTCGGAAATAAATGGATAAAGGGGTGTCCTTAAGCCTCGGCTCAATTACCAGCAGGGCAGTAAAATCCGACAACCACGTGTCATGGGCTCCTTGCTGTCACTTCTGATCTTGCCCATATCATCGCTCGGTTCTAGAAATCGTTGCGCTCCCATTTGAAGCATACCAACCGAGTTCCAGGGAGCCAGCTCCTCTTGCGAAGGCTGAGATCGGCTCAATTCGAGCACCGGCATCGGCGCACCGATATGTGGCAGGCTACGGGCAATACGCTCCGGGCTTTGCACCAGCAGTGATCCAATATGATGCAGGATTTGCGCTCCAAGGAGAAAAAGCAACAGCAAAGCACTTTCTGATGCTCCATGCGCTGCACTGTCCCTAAAACGTTGGCTTGCCAGACCACAAATGCGAGGACGGCGCAGCACTTTCTGCATGAGGATGCTCGTCCCTCATTTCTAGCCTGCCAGACAAGAAGGTTTATGGACAGTACAGCACTTTCTGCATGTTCATGCTCAAAAGTGCTGTCTCTCTCTAAAAATCTAGCCTGCCAGACCACAACCGTTGGAACACTTTCAAGACTGTTTCTAATCTTCGCTTCCAAAGCCAAGATTTTAGGGACAGTACAGCACTTTCTGCATGCTGCTTCCATAAGTTCCATCTGACCCCTGCTAACTCCTTGTCCAGAAGGCTGTGAACACAAAGAATCTGCCGGCATCTGCTGCAAGTTGCCGGATCAGAATCTGACCCTGGAACAGGATGTCAAAACCAAGCATTTTGCCTGTGTTGTTTCCTTTTTCTTTTGCTTGCAAGGGGTAAAGTGCGGATCTTCGCGGCGGGGGGGGGGATGACCACATATGTACATAAATATATATATATATATGTGTACATACACAAAGCAAATACCGAGATACGGACCGACCAATGCACACACCCGCACCCACACACAGACACACACACACACACACACACACACACACACACACACACACACACACACACACATTTAACACACCAAAGGAACACACACACACACACACACAACCACATACGAAGTGGTCAGCGCAACAAGCCACAAAATAGGAGAAACACGAAGAATATCCAGAGCGAGAAAGAAGAGGAAGAAGAAGAGCAGCAAAATCAAAGAGGAAGAAATCGAGCACACAAAAACCGCGACGAAAATGGCACGAATCGGAGTCCCGCAGGGCGAAGGGCAGCCCAAGGAGCTTGCCCTTGAGCTCCGACTCCGAATCCAGGCCCTGCCGGTGGGCCTTTGCGCGAGACTTGGGTCGTGCTTGGGTGCAGGGTGGAAGGGGTGGAGCGGGTTGGGGAGGTGTGCAGAGAAGTTTGAGAGGAGAAGTCTTTGGGCTTGAAGGTGGGAGTCGCGTCTTTTAACTAGGCTCCACATCTTGACTATCAGGCTGCATCACGTGCCCTTCCTCCCCGAGCTTGGTGGTAAAAAAAGGACCAGTCCAGAGTGCAGTCCATCCATGCCCAAGCGACCCGATCGGTGTGTCTTGTTTTCGAGGCAAAGCCCCTTTTCGGAGCCATGAGCAGGACGACCACAAAACAGCTCTAAAGACAGCCAGTCATTTTATGGGTCTGCCCCTTTTCAGACGTGCCCATGTCAACATGGAAGCTGAATCCAAAGCTGGAAATAGGCTATCCCAGCCCGAGTGGCCCACCGCTCAGCTCGCATTGGTAAGCTGTAAATTCGCACAGAAGTCGATGTGTGTACCTAGATGGATAGGCAATAGATTAGATATCATTAAGTTAGATTCGATTAGGTTAGATTGGAGTTGGGTAGAGTAGATAGATAGATAGATAGATAGATAGATAGATAGATAGATAGATAGATAGATAGATAGATTAGATAGATAGATAGATAGATAACTAGATGCAGGAAAGGACAGAAAAAGGGAGGTATTGATGGACGGATGGATAGGCCAAACAGGCCAACTAGGCCACATGAGCCAGATGGGCGCTAGACAGGTCAAGTTGCTAGCTAAATAGGTCAAATAGCTAAAAACCAATATATAGTTATATCTACATGCTACCTACATAGGCTAAACAGCTAAAAAGCAATATATATATATATATAGTCGTATCTACATGTATGGATATGAACCTGCCCTGTGAACCTCTGTGCGTCTACCTGTAAGACGAAAGCCGAAAAAGACGCCGCCCGGGCAGCCCGGCGATGACCTGCAGCCGGGACTTGGTGTAGACCGTATTGGTCAGCAACAGCTCCAAGACCTCCACCGTCGGCTGAAAGAGCGCAAACTCGAACCAGTACCTCAGCTCTTGTTCTTTTTTGCCCCTTTTTTTCACGCGGAAAAGCCCCGATCTCTGGGCTCCTCAAAGTTGGGGCGGTTCAAATCTTCCCGCGTACCGGGACTGCTCAAGCCGTCCCGTGGAGACGACAACAAGTATGGCTTAAATGTGGGGACCAACAAAACTTGTTCATTTCCACGCAGTGGCCCTGTACAACCAACAAACAGGGGGCTGCACAACCAACAAACAGGGGGAACCCTCAAAAAAGACAGACCCGTATTACGGCCATTCTCCTCCCACCAATCTAGGGTGTCATACCAGTGGTTCAAAGATCTAGGGGTTCATACCAAGCAGACACACCCATAATATAAAATTCTGCCCAACAACAAACGAACGGGTTGAACCCATCCACTGGTTGGACAAGTCTGCCGCACTGGAGCCTTCGGCTGCTGAGAAAAAGGCCCCAAACTCACCGCCTGGGTCTACCAAAAAGATGCTGCAGGTACATGGAGACCCTTTCAGACGGGGTCTTTTAAATGATGGTGCACACGGCTACATTGCCTCGCCGAACGAGTTTTGGCCGTGGCACATCTGAAATTATGATTGTTCTTGGCTTCACGGACAGCGACTTAAAATCCCCATCACACGGAGTCTGAGTTTGGTGAATATCAGGGAAGGCCTCTTCTCAGAAGAACCAATCCTTATGTAGCCTTTTTGGAAACGCCCATCGCGAAGGTTTGTCCCAAAATAAGGACACCACCCAAATGGGGGTGCACTTGAAGCCACCCAAAACAAGGCAAGTAAGACGCGAAAACGGCAACAATCTTCCACAGATGTCAATGAAATGCAAAGCGACTGAAAATAGTCAGGTATTTATTATTGATGGATGAAGAGAATGTTGATGGATCTGCTGCTGCACCCTTCAAATTAAGGCTCCATGCGATTCACAAGATGTGCTTTGGACCCGTTTCGGCTTACTGTTCCCGACGAAAACCCTCGTACCAAGGCCCCCAAACAAAAGAAGACTTCTTGGAGCCTCTGCCATGGTTGGAGGTACGCCACCTGGAGCGTCTTCACTCCCGTTCCCCTTCGACCAAGCGGCCATTGGAAGGCGATCACCGGGCTCGCCACCCCCATGAGCGCCGAGATCAACCGCACGAGGTCCCGGAAGTGCCTCGCCCGCAAACCGCTCGAAGCCCCGAGCGGGGCTTCGTAGTGGATGCGACCGTCGCGGCTTGGCCATGGGGCCCTTGGTTTCCCCTTCAAAGCACCCTGTCTGCTTTCGGTTTTCGTTTGATGGCAACACTTTGCAGTTTGGTGATGGGGCCCTTGGTGGTTGCCTTCTTTTTGCATGGCACTCTTTCTGTTTTCGTTCGATGGTGCCCCCCGTTGCAATCTTTTGCAAAACACCCTTTCCGTTTTCGTTTGATGGCACCGCTGCCACTTTGGCGAGAGGGCCCTCTTGGCTGCTTTGTTTCAACACACCCCTTCCGTTTTCGTTTGATGGCACCATTTCCTTTCTTGGCGACGGTGCTTGTCTTCTTAACACCCTTTTAGTTCTCCTTTGATGGCACCATGTCTATTGCAGCCACGGTGCCCTTTCTGGTTGCCTTCTGTGTCATGAGTCATAACAGCCAATCCGTTTTTGTTTCTTTGAAAAAACATAATTTTGAAGATTGTGCCCTTCTTGGCTGCCTTTTTTGAATAACACCCTGTCCGCCTTCGTTTGATGTCACCATTTTCATTTGGGCGACGGTGCCGTGTTGGGTTGTCTTCTATCTTATAGCATCCTTTCCGTTTTGCTTGATGGCGCCAGTTCCATTTCGGCGACAAACGGACAAATAGATATACAAATAGATACCCGCTGCATGGATGAGCAGGTAGATGGATAGATCGACAAATCAATGTCAATAGGCGGGCAAATGGATAGGCAGAGACACAACCAAATAGACAGGTTTGGGCAATTCATCTGCATTTGGTTCGTGGCTTCTAGCATGTGCCCTTTTTGGTGGTCTTCTTCAGGATATCCTTCCATGTTCTTTGATTGGATCAATCCTGGTGATGGTGCCCTTTTGCGTAGTATATAAGTTTGTCTCGAAAACATATTTTGGGGGAATCCAACCTCGTTCTTTTCGAGGATGCTGACTTCAAGGGAAACCTTCAGGCTGAAACCGAATGGGAAAAAGAAGCTGAAGCCCGTTTTGGGGGGCGGGTCCGTTTCCCGCTGTGGACCTGCTCTTGGCCTGGACGCCATGACTTCCTCCACGCGAATGGCTGGCAAATCCCGGACGTGCTCCTGCGGATGGACTCGCATCACCAACGACCAACAGATGTTCAGAGCCAAAACAAGGGGGGGCGTGGGCTCTTAATGGTCTTTGGTGCCTGTAATGGCCCTTAATGAGCTCTATCAGGCACCAATAGGCACTAATCAGCACCTAATAGGCACTACTAGGCACAAATAGGCAGCTGATAGGCACCTAATACGTGATCGGCACTTCTAGGCACTGGCCCTTGCAGTTTGTCATTTTTGCGCTGCAATCCTGGCTCTCAGTGCAACGAACATGAACCGTATGGTTTAAATATGTCTTTTTTGGGGTCTGCGAAACCGCCGGCCCCGGCTCGGAACCCTCTGCCCTCGCCGGAGGTCGCTCCTTGATCTGTGCGATCTCCTCAAAGGCCTCCGCCTCGGTGAGGGGCCGGGCGCCCTTGGCGCAGATCATGAGCGCCAGATGGTTCACCTCCTCCGGGAAGAGGTCCTGGAGCTGGAGGGAGCTTTGGTTTTTTGGGACTTTTAGGGGGTTTAATGGAAACTAGGAACACGGCTCATACTCCACCGTGAGCCAAAACAGGATTTCGCCGTCACAAGTCAAGAATGGCACGTGGTTTCCTGTGGGAAAACCCAATGAACTGCAGCCTTAAGTGGTTTCCGTGCTTTTCACACGTCCTCCCCAAGCAGGGCTACTGTTTTCGTTTGTTTTTCCGAATGAAAACAAGGGTTTCGTTCCTTGAGAACTACTTTCAAACCGGCGCGACGCACGCTTTTTCCCAATCAAACACCGACAGCGTTCCTTGTCAGAGGAGAGCCTCTAGCAAGCAAAACTCGCCAAGGCTTTGAGCACCTAGCATCTGCCGCCAGTTCCACTAGAAAACCTGGCATGGATACAGTGCTGAGCGGGCGCGCGTGAGCTGGTGTTCTTACCATCTGGCGAGCATGGACAGTGCTGAGCGGGTGCGCGCGAGCAGGTGCTCTTACCAGGCATGGATACCGCGTGAGCGGGTGTTCTTACCATTTGGCAGGCATGGATACAGTGCTGAGCGGGTGCGCGTGAGCGGAGTGTGCTTACCATCTGGCTCGCATGGGTGCAGTGCTGAGCGGGCGCGTGAACCATGAAAACGTCAAAGTCGCGAGAAATATCAGTATTTGCGGAACTTGAAGGGGTACAACACACACGAAATTGCATTTTGATCCACGGCGGAATATGAGCCGTGGACCAACTACCACTGAACACTAAAAGGCTAAAAAGCCAAGGGGATGGCTGGGAGCCACCAAGTGTTTTGGCACCCGTGCAAAGGCTGCTGGGAAACCAACAAAAGCCCAAGCCCGGCTTAGGTCCGATTCCTTGGAGACGAAAACACATGAGTTGGTCAGACAAAACTGTGGCTCCCTCAACCCCAGATGCTGAAAGAACAAACCAGCCAATACCGAATACCGGTATGAAAATACTTTACCTCAAACCATGTCAAATAGGGAGGAACGCCGCTCATACTTGTGGTTGAGGTCTATCACGTACTCACCTCCAATCAGGGTTGACATGGACTAGTGTGTTGCCGAGTTTAAGGGCAAAGGGGAAAGGTTGAGCTATTGAACATGGCGGAATTGCAATCCTACTTGCCGGGGAAGCATCAAAGGCGGATTGTCTTCGAACAGCCCAGAGAGATCCCTTTTTCCGTGGATGTTTAGCCCTGAACCTAGGAGTTAAGTCTTGTCCATCATCGTCTCACTTCCTGAGTGGGCATTAGCCAAAAAGAGTCTTAACTTGTTGTTTACCACTAAAATGGTCTTTTTAAAAGTATAAAGAGCAGGAACTCAGGGAGTGAGTCATGTCTGCATGAAAGGGCCAAGATGAAAAACGGGTACCAAGCGTTGCCCCGGTTTGAAACGTGACACGTCTGACCCAAAAGGAATCCAATAGCACCCCCGCCATGGTGGCACCGTTGATTTTTCCAGATTGACCCCAGATTCACCAACCTCGTGGATGAACCCCCCCTTAACCGAGGGTTTGGGTGCATCCAAGCGACATCCTCCAAATCACCCTCCAAACGGCTTGAAGGGAAACCCTTTAAAAAACTCGAGCCTCAACATGCAACCACTTGAAGCTCAGATGGGACACATCCCAACCAAAGTGCATCCTAGCTCCGAGTTCACTCCGAAGGTTCTCCTGGCGCAGCGCCTCCGGTGCTAAGATGTAGCCCAGGTCCAGTGACAGCCCTGTCCTGTGGCTCTGGCAGCTCGCAGGCCATGGGAGCATGTCAACTTTAGGTTTTCCTTTAAAAAAAAATGAATTAAATAAATATTTTGTTTTTTTTTTTTTTAAAAAAAAAAAATGGGGGACATAGCCCTGCTGTGATACCAAAGTGGTTGATTCCCGTGGCTACTTTGTCACTAAAGGGATTCTCTTGGTAGTGCAGCAAAAAACCTATTTGCTACATGCGGCCATGCGTAAGTCCCTGGAAAAAAAAACTCAAAGATATTGACAGACTCCCTTAAAACCAACAGAGGAAAACAAAACATATTCACAAGCAAGTAGATGCCGGAAGGCTAGGTCAAACGCCCAATGGACTTTGGGGTGCAGTGTGGTAGGCCCACTCTGAATATCCCTGGGTGGTTGAGAAACCTGTTGGCATGCCTTTAGTGGTACAGAGTAGTTCTTTTGTTTCTGGGTAGGATTTCCCAGATAGTTTTAGTTGGTGTACAGACATAGCCTGCTTCAGGAGCAAACAAAAGGAAAGCATCTTGGGGGTCCAGTATTTGAAGACAAACCCTTTGGGAAGAAGCGATGACAACTTCGGAGGGCTTGCCTCTAGAAATATGCAAAAAACCGCTTCGAGGGTTGCCCGTAGGCCATCAAGGGGCTTGCCGAATGGGATGAATCTCCAAGAGGTCGCTTACCCTTGCACATTTTAGAGACATGTGCTATCCAGTTCCTAAGCTGACAGGGAGGGAGTGCATAACTGGGGAGGACATGGCACGGGTTAATTTCATGCACCCCCAAACGCGTGCCTCGGGGGTGCGTGCCTGTTGGGGCTAAAGGGAAACCAAACAAGAAACCCCATCCATTCTTTGAATAAGAACGCCCACCATACCAAGGTGAATCTCACCGGGACAACCCTAGGAGCCTTCCGGACCCCATCCTCTTGCACCCGTTGAAGCCGCTGATCAGCTCGTACAAATCCAGGCGCTGGCGGAGGCTCCTGGGTATGTGGACTTGGATTTGGACCACATAGCTTTGTTGTTCCTGTGGTTCTCCTTTAAAGCCACCAAAGAATGGGTACCAACTGGAAAAAGATGCACCTAGCTTTTCCTGAGGGGGTGTCGCTTGACCCTTTCAGGGAAAAGGGTCCCTCTTTTTCCCAGACGGCATCTCCCCAAAACCCTTGGGTGGCCTCATCAGGGCAAGAATTGCCGTCCCCGTTTTTTCCAAAACATACCACACACACACACACACCCCAAGCCCAAAGCCGGCACCAGTCCCGCGCTCGAAGGCGAGACCCTCCCAGAGCTCCGCCAGGGAGATGGCCTGCACCTGGCACAAACTCCACGCGCCCAAGGTGCGTTCTTGTTGCTTTTTCGGCTCGCGGCTCGCGGTGATGCTTTCTTTTTTGTGTGTTGGGGTGGGTTTTGTTTTTGTATTTTGTTTGCCGTGGTGTGTTCTTTGCTGTTTTTTGAGGTGCGAGTGCTTTTTTGTAGTTCGAGGGAATATCAAAGGTATGTACAAGCTCGCCGAGGTCCTTTTCCGAACAACCGTAAGTATCCTCCTTGAGAAAATCTCGAACTTCCGAGAAAAGCGATCTTGGGTTTGCTAAGATGCTTTGGAGAAAGATGGGTCCAAGGAAAATATCGGCTTTCGGAGAAATGCAAATTCGACGTGCGAATGTGGAATAGAGACAGGTACTCCAACAACCCGACGGGATGCCTGGTAGTTCGGGCCCAGAGCCCAAGTAAGGGAGCTAGACAAAATGTGGGCAGCGTTCATTGGTGGGCAGCCAACATAGTGGGAACCTTGGATGAAGAAACCACAGGTTGATTAATAGGGGGAAGTCTTCTGTTTTCACGCTTCAAGAGAAATTTCCCCGGACTAATAGGACGGGTTTACCAATCCTTGGTGAACATACTGGGCAAATGTCACCCAAACAGTCCCACAAAGGGACAGTTTCACAAACTGGCAAATGGTTTAACGGGAAGCCAAAGGGATGTTTGCTTGAAGGAGTTCCTAAGTTTTGACCACCTGAGTAATATCGACGAAGAACACCTTGAAACTCTTGTTTGGCTTCTTCGCTGGAACATCTCTCAAGTCGGTTGCTCACAGTGGCAAGCAAAAGCCGCAACCAAAGCGGCCAAGCAAGTCCGCTGTCAACCAACAAGCAACAGCCCAACCAACAAAACACTCAACCGCTCAACCGCTCAACTGCTCAAGCACTCAACCAACCAGCGACATTTGACCACAAGACCGCCCCCAAAATGAAACTAAAGAACCGAAGCATGCAGCGTTTCGGGTCTACGGTGCCTCGGGCATCTCCGGAGATTCTCGCTTCTTCACCGGGCGCCGGCGTGAAGCTCTACCTGGCTGTGTGGACCGGTTGCTGGGAATCCATTTGGCACCAGTTAGATTTCCGTGGTTTATCCCAGTCATGAAATTCAGCCATCCCAGGGGTTTGTTTCTGTCCACCATACAATTGATTCCAAACACGAGACAAAGTGAGGGTTGGTACAAGAACAGTCCTCGGACCCCAAGACGCCATACCGTTCCAGTGCCGTAAACATGAGTACCATCAATGGGCCCGTGGCGCAATGGCAGCGCATCCCCTGGCTACACCGCTGAGGAAGGTCGTGGGTGCAAATCCCGCCGGATCCATTAACTCGCACCTCGTGCAGCAGCCTGGATCCGGACGGCCGCTCGCTCCTCCTTGGACATGACGACGGCGGCGTTGGCCGGCACCATGCCTCACGCGGCGACAGGAGCAAACTAGCCGTTTCAATTGAGTCAGGATTGAAACCCACGGTGCTGAATTTGCCACCTTTAATGAGCGTGTTGGAGGAAGCTCCAGAGGGGGAATCCCTGTTTGTTCAGGAAACCCGCGTGTTTTCACTACGATAAGAGGGTGGATATAAGCATCAAATGGCTAAGGAGCAGCCCAACATTATTCCACCCAGTGATGAAACTGTCACGGGGACAACGGATTGGCTCACTTCCTCCGCCGCTGCGAGCGAATCCACCTACACTCCTGGAAGTAGCCATGAAACTGAAACAAAACTCTTTGCTACTGTGGCAGGGTCCGTGACCCTTGCTGAAAGTGTAATTGCTTGCTCCAGCAATTGGCCTTCGATGGTACCAGGTACGCGGCACTAATGCCGCCCATGACACCAAAGGTGAAGGGTGTTGAAACTATGCAAGACACCTAGAGAGGTGAGCAAGCTGGTATCTTCTGCCAAAAGAGGCGGGGGTTGGTGCGGCAAGTTCAAGATTTTGTTCTTGATGTGTATGTGTGTGTGTGTGTTCAAACAAGTAAAGTAACGCGTCAAAGTACGAGGCACTTCAAGGTTTGTTCGGAAACCATGAATGTTGGGAAGGGGTCATTCATCCAAAAGATTTCAAGGCTGAAAGGTCAAAGACAAAGCATGTCAAGTGACTTTGGGTTCTGCCAACATGCGTATAAAGATCTATACATAATACATGTATGTATATATATGTATATATATACATATTCGTATATATATATATATATCCCTTCCTACCCAGATGAAACCAGGTAGGACCACCTGAGTCCTGAAAACTGGAATCAGCTCAGCGGGCCGAGCTGCCAAAGATGCCCTGGGGCTCCGTGGCCCAATGGGCAAACTCCTGCGACAGGTTGGGAGCTGATGCGAACTCGTCCAGATGGATTTCTTTGGGATGCATCTCGCGGCAACATAGACCCCAAATGGGTACGGGTCACAATTAGACCAAAAAGAATCCGCAGGTGTTGGCCCATTCAAGGGTGTTTTACCAGGATTCCATGCTAGGTAAATATGTTTGACCCGCAGCCAAATAGCAAACTCTGTATTTTGGGTGTTGGAAAGGATTGCAATTGAGAACCTATGGAGATCAGCCTCGTGCTGCAGCTTCACACTCAGAGCTGTCGAACGTATATGTATATATTGCTTCCCCCCCAAACAACAAAAAAAGTCCCCCCCCCCCAAAAAAAAACGAGAAAGAACAAAACAAAAACAAAAACTTTCCAAAGACGCCGCGGTGTTTTCCGGCGCCATTCTAGGCGAGATGTTGCGTCCTCCCCCTCCCTGCTTGAAGGACCCAACAGCTTGCTAATTATCTGGGGAAAGAGCTGCACGGAGCCTGCAAGAAGGGAAGCCCTGAGGTCCTGCATACATATAGAGTATGCGCAGTCATGGATGGGTTTCAGGGTATGGGAACACAAATCCAGGCTCATAGGGCTTACAGGTGGCGTGTTGACATTTGCGCTGCGCAAGTGAGTCTTTGCGAACATTCCTCTCTCAAGGGAAACATGTCGGAGGCGCGACAGCACGACCTGCACAAATCGTATGGCTTCGGGTCTTCTTTAAAACCAGACCTCCAGAGAGGGGGATCCTTTAAGAAGATCCTGCGATCCTGAGATTCCTTCTCAAACTTTCTGAAGGGATTCTGCAAAAGTGCTCAAGACCGAGCGTGGAAGCGGGATGACAAATCAGTCCAACGATGGTGCTTAGCTGGGAAAGATACATTCACTGCACATTCGACGAATGACCTGGTAGAAACCAGGACGCTGGCGCTGCCGATCGGAAACTGGCTTACCAGTATTGTCGGCGAGGGCCTGCGATCGCATGCCATGGAATGTTGCTTTGGCCTTCCCTACCAGCTCGTGTCGCTGTCATCCACCCGGTGGTGGTTGGCCCGAGACCCCCCAAACCACGGCAAACTGCGCAATGGACACCCAGCCAACAGAGTGCGGGATGTCGCCTTCTCTCGTGCCACGGGACCGATACATAGAACAGGCTCGGTGTGCCGCGCCAAACCAAGCAGTCTCTTCCCCATCTTCACCAAAAACAAATGGGGCGGAATTTGCGAAACATGGGCGACATCCTGCGACCTTGCGCAACAAACAGAGCGTTGGAAGCCGGATGCCCTGGTGGGGCAACCTGCAAGCCTTCGATTTTGCCCGCGATCAAAACGCGGTCCTCGAAGCTCACGAAGCCGTCCTTGGGCAAAAAAGGCTTCAGTCTGCGCCATTTGCCCTTCCGCCAACCGCCATAGAAGAGAAATTTCCACTTGAAGGGACCCTCTGTCAGGGAGTGGGGTAGGCTATGCTTCGTGGCAAAGGAGCCTCTTTCAGCAAAGCAGACCCACAACTCTTCAATTGTCACTGCAAAACACTTGGTATCTCGGAACGGCCAAAAGCTCGTCCGTCGTGCGCGTGACGGCTTCCCGCCGGGAAGAGTAACATCAACCAACTCATGAATCACGTACGGTGGATTCCTACTGCAAGTAAACTCACCCAAACCCAGGACCATTCTAAGAAGTCCCATCTGAAAATGTCTCGAATCTGCTGGAGGGAATCTCCGAAACCTGCCTTGCCTCTTCAAATGTTCACATAAGCTCAACTCTCTTCACGAGGACGACGGAAGAAAGACTCGCTTGGCCACGAATAGAAAAGGGGGCAAAGTGTGTCTGTGGGTATGTCTGATGCTTTGGGGGGCTTGTTCTCCTCCCAACATGCCTTTCTTGTTTGTTTGCGGGAGAGCTAGTGTCCAGGGGTGCGTTTGTCACGCTCATGCAACGGAAACGATCGGACATTCAGTCAGTTCTTGTCCGGGTGAGTTAGCGCCTGCAAAAGAGTGAAGCTGTTTGCAGAAAGCACTTGCCATTTTACAAAGGTTAATGTACTGTTCATTTACTCCCCACTCGCAACAATTAAAGGAGGCGTCCCGTTTTTGGAGCAGATTCCTATGTTCCACCCCCCCTTTTCCATAGCTTCAATAACTGCGGCGGAGGGTGCATTCATCTGTGAGGTTACATCTCGAAAAACTCCCAGGTTCCCTTCACCTCCGTACCTTTGCCCCCATGTACCCGCATACATACGGGCATGTGTGAAATACGAAACCTGAAAATGCTTGCTGTTTTCTCCTTGTAGCTTTCCTAAAAACCAAGCCGAAAAGGCACACTGGAAAGAGCAAGCACACCCATCGGCGCCTTGCTCGGGTCCGCGTCCACGAAGATGCTGTCCAAATCCTCCCGGGTGAAGGAAGGGTCCAGCAGCATCATGATCCGCTTCAACTCCTCCTGGGCTAAGCGAGATGCGTTGTTCAAAATACGGTCCCGTTTGGGACCGTGGGCAGTGTACCAGCCGCCCTTTAAAAGGGGATACAAGAAAATGGGGACTAGTTTTGACAACCCACCCCAAAAAACAGAGCTGTGGTTTCTGTTTGGCTTCTTGCGACCTTTTGCTTTCCTTCGGCTGCTCTGCTCTATTCCTTTTCCTTCCGGGTCCTTTGGGGTAAGTCACTTCATGCCCGATTCCAAAGGCTGAAAAAGGGGGGAGGGCTTTTTGGCACCTTTTCTCGCCCATGTTGGCTGGTTTGTCAAAATCGAACATAATTAAATAGCTATACGATTTTCACCAAGGCAGCAAACAGGTGTTCCATTTGAGCCGGTCCCGAATCAGATTCGACTGTCAAAAGGTGTCGATCGGACTTCATGTGTTGGAACTACCTGCCCAGTTCATCGCAGAAAAAAGCATGCCGCCCTTTGCCAATTGAGAAAAAAGAAAAGCCCACCCCATCAAAAAGAAAGGGGGACTGCTCGAGCCGCCTGGCACGAATCAAGCCTCCTGTTCTCACAATTCACTGAGCTCGCCAACGAAATCAGCACATGGTAGCCAAAAAGAAAATAGGTCGACATCAATCAGTAAAGGTTCAAGTGTGGGTTGTGACAACATCCTATTCAGAAAAAGTTCAAATGTGGGTTGTCACAACATCCTGCTCAGTTTCTAGTGTGGGTTGTGAGAACCTCGTGTTCAGAAAAAGTTCAATTGTGCGCTGGGACAACATTCACAACATCCTGTTCAGTTTCAAGTGTGGGTTGTAACAACATTGTGTTCAGTGAATGTTCAAGTGTGGGCGTGTCTAGTATCTTTTGTGCCAGCATGCGCGCAGCCGTCGTGGATGCGCGTGGACATGTGTATTATCATTTGTTGCAGCATGCATGCAGCATCGTGGATGCGTGTGGGCGTGTGTATTATCATTTGTGCCAGCACGCGTGCAGCGGTCGTGGATGCGCGTGGGCATGTGTATTATCATTTGTGCCATCATGCGTGCAGCAGTCTTGGATGACGCATGGGCGCGTGTATTATCATTTCTGCCAGCACGCGTGAGGCGGTTGTCAATGCGCGTGGGGGTGTATACTACCACTTGTGCCAGCACGCAGGCGGCGGTCGTGAATGCACGTGGGCGTGTATATTACCACTTGTGCCCATGCGTGAAGCGGTTGTGGATGCGCGTGGGCGTGTGTATTATCATTTGTGTGAATGCACGTGGGCGTGTCCACTTGTGCCAGCATGCGTGCAGCGGTTGTGGATGCGACGCGTGCGGCGGTCGTGAATGAGCGTTGGCGTGTATATTACCACTTGTGCCAGCACGCGTGCGGCGGTCTGGTTTGTGCCAGCATGTGTGCATCGGTCGTGAATGCGCGTGGGCATGTGTACTATCACTTGTGCTGCTTAGCCTCATGTGTCAAGACTCCGAGTACCAAAAAAAGTGTTCATAAGCATGAGACATGCGCGGAACAACATGAAACAACCAGGTTCCTGGCGTTTTGGGGCAGCCCCAAAGACCTTGGCACGGTACTGCGGGGGTCCGTGGCTCGGAGACGGGCCACGAGCTTCAGGCTTTCGGCCGGTAAGTAGACATCGCGGGGCGGGCGGGCGGTTTTGGCATTTTGTTTCAATTCAAAAAAACCGGCGGTGACAGGCACCAATCCACAGGCGGCGGATTGGCGACCAGCCGACTTGCCGGGCTGGGTCAAAAGAAAGCAACCTTGACCAGCTCAGTTTTCCTGAACAAAGGCTAACCTGGGACTTTGACCAAAACTGAACCGGCATTGCGAATTCAAAGCTCAAGAGGTCGGCATTGGACCAGTGAGCCAAAGACGTCCCTTGTTTCACATCTGGCATGCCGGCGGTGTCCTTCTTAGAATTTGGCTTACCCTTCACCATGCAAAAGAGATCCCCAGCCTGCCTGGGGCTTCAGATCAAACTTCACAGAGTTCCCCCAAATTCCAACCTCAATGCTGCAACAGAACATGTTCATCCCCAAACCGGGTGAGTCCATTGCATCGGCGAACCTCCGACCCTTCCGAAGCGTCGGCGAGTCCTGGCTGATGCGGCCATCCCCGTTGAGGTCAAACTTCCGGAAGGCCCGGACGATGACCTGGACCGATTTGGGTCAAGAGGAATTTGTTAAACCTCCAAGTTTGTGGGGAAAGGAGGCTTTAAGGAAGGTCGAAAGCAAAACCAATCATTTGGAAAGGTTGAGACGCTTCTAGATGGAGCACAACATGTTTCTTTCCGTTCAACAGATCCGTAGAAGAGCTCAACCCCAGGTTTGACACGTGCCAATATGCCAATATGAGCCACGGTCAAAATGACTTGCTTCCACGAGTGACAGTGCCTGGGTTCTTGTGGGAAGTTTAGTGAGATGCCCCATGTCCAACATGGGCCATAGACTGGATTTGCTGTGCCAAGCCTCATATGATCCTTTGACCCTTCTCCACTCACATCATGGCTCCTTCGCCACCCATTGACTTCACCATGTGGCTCATGGCCATGGCAAGCTTCCTAAGAGGTTCCCTTCCAACGGCAGCCCGCAAGGCAGCTGGTGACCTGTGTACTTCTAGGCATATGGCACACTTTTTCGTAATCACGAAGAGTCTTCGAGGGTTCAAGACACGCTGCAACGTCAAGTCATCTTTGACAAAGAATAGGCTGGCCACTGCAAAAAGTGGCAAAAGCTACTTGCAAGCGAGTTGGGAAGTGTCTGTCAGCCCGAGCAGTGAGCGGGTAGCTGAGGTGCCAGGATTGTTTGGTCTAACACAAGTCTCCCAGCACTTGCTCCAGCATGTCGAGAAAGGACCCTCGATCCATTTAGCCATTTAAAAGATGTCTGCTATCCCAACCGAGTCTCGGGGAGCGCCCCAGGGTTGCAAACATCAGGCACGCTTGTCTCACCCTGAAATCAGTCTGAATCACTCCTGGACGATATCTTGGTGAAACCAGCCTGTGATCGATTCTGTAAGTCAACTCGAGAACAGGTCAAAAATATCCAGCCCCTGCCCCCGCCCAAGAAAGCGACAAGCCGTGTGAAGTCAGCAATTGCACCTCTGGACTTGGCAAGGGACTCAAGGTACAGCATCGAATGAAGTTTCCGGAATTGGACCAACGGTTTAACGCAAACCACTCAGCAAATCTGGTTCCTTTGTTGAAGAATTTCTTGGCTTCCCTAAAGCAGCTCAAGAAGGTTACCCTCCAAAACCACCACTCACTCATCCTCACTCATCTTCAGGGCTGGCGCGGCTGCCTTGGCATACTCCGCTTGCTCCATCACATGACAGGAGCCATCGGGTGAATCGTTGGCCGAATGCACGTAGCTTCAGGCCCAAGGAATTCGCCGAACATGAGAAGCTTCCTGGAAAAGTCGCGGCTTTTTTGGTCGCAAGGTTCGACCTGATGGACGCGTGATGAAATCCAGCGTGTTCCAAGCCCAAGCCAACTCCTAGGATTCGAAGCAACACATCTCCATTTCAATGCGGGGTCAACACGTGAGGGCTTAGTATTGCGGGCTTGCTCCTACCCCTTATGTGCTTGGACCGCTTTACTCCCCCGGCTCGCCGCAAAGGCGAGAAGCGGCCAAAGGTCGGCGCGCGCGTTCCGTTCGTCTGTCAGATGCAGCCCCCGAGCAGTGAAGCAGTCACTTCAAGCATACCTGCACATGTCTGGGCACAATAAGGAAGCCTATGATACCAAAGTGGTTTGATTCCTCTCCGATCATGACTGCCCTGTCCCTAAGGAGAGTCCCTCAGAAGGCAACCCCGAAACCCCATTGTCTGAAAGCAGGTACCTGCATCATCACGGGTCAAATTTTGCCAAGGCATGCTACTACCTACAACTTGGCAAGAAGGAAACTCATGATGTTGGGATCAGAAGGCTTCCAACCTTCGCAACGACAAGCCACACAATTTCTTTGGGCAATGTGGTGTGTTTTTGTTGAGGGTGCCCTTGTCGAGGTTATGTGCAAAGGGAGACCACCTCATTCTGGAGGCCCATTGACAGAAAGCCCCAATTCCAAAAGCTGAAATAATGGATCGAGTAACCGACGGTGACAATGGGGCACTTCCATGGTTGTCCAAGGGCTCTGGCTCTTGACACCTTTGACTCAAAATCAATAGAGGCCTTCCCAACACTGCGCTTAGCTAAAAGTGGGGGGGGGGGGGGGGCAACACCCTAATTGAGCAGCTTCCTTTTGGTGTGACTTTAAAACAGCCAACACAAAGGTACCGCGGAAAAAAAAGGTCAAAAGGCAAACGCTTGAGAGGGGTCATGTGGTTACAAGGGCAAAAATCACAACGCGTGCAAAAACTAGCCTCACATGGCTCTGCGCTGATCGATTTCGAATCAATAGCTCCAACACCGCAGTCCTCATGAACATCCATGACCTTTTAGGTATGTCTTCTGTTGGATACCCTCTAGGGGTTGCTTTGAATGGGAAACCGAAGGCAAACCGAGAGCCATTTTTGGAGACGCGTCAAAAGCCAGGTGTCCTTGTGGAAAATTTGGGGACTTGAGTGGAAAAGGGTGAGAACCATTTGTGGATGGTCATGATTTCCTTTGTGGAAGCCTAATTCTTCCCCAAACCCCAGCAAAGATTGCATGAGCAGCCCTAGCAACCTACATTGAGGCTTCTCCAAATGGTGGCCCTATTCTTGGCTTGGTCAAAGGCCCCCCCTTTTTTCTTTTTTTTGGGGGGGGCTATGTGTATTTTCACCAAAGCGCCGAGCTCTCGACCCCGCCTCCGTCGGCCGCCCGGAGTCCACGGCAAGCGCCCCATCACCCAGCGAGAGGCGCAGGAACACCTGGAGAGCCAAGGCGTCACGGCGTCACATGGTGGGTCAAAACCCACAAAACCCCTGGTGAACAACATAGGTGGCACATGGGTGTTCAGCCGTCAAGTGGAGGCATAAGTTGTGACTTGTGGCCACATGGGGCGTGTCCTTTCTTGTTTGGAGTCGGCCGGGACCCCGTGGCTTTAAAGGTGGCTTTAAGGGGAAACCGAAAGCCATCTTGGGGGAAAGACAGACCCAAGTGAGTCGGCATAGGGTCCATGTTGCCCCCCATTCGCTCCACAGAGCCCTTTCTAAGAAAGCTCGAAGGCAGATTACTGTTCACAAACCAGACATTGGGAAACCCCAAGGCAACTTCACGGGTGACCTCGTTTGACCCCCTCAAGTTAGGCTCAGCTCATAGTTTGTCCAGAGTAGGGATTTGCTTACTTCTTGCCATTAATACAGCTTTCTTGGGAAGTAGGTGCTCATATCTGCTGAACCGACTCAAATGGGCGTGTCTCCAAATTGGATATAAAATGAGGTGGTTCCCTGCTGGCTTCCCTTGCCAACAAACCCCGAAAGGGTGCCATGGTCACCCTTGCCATGTTGTCACGCACGTTGGAATCCGTTTGAGGGTCCGAATCCCCGAAATGAGCCAGTTCTGTGGTCCATGGCAGAGCAAAGAGATAGGCTCAGTGACATCCCCGGCGCGAAACTCGCTGAGCCCCACGAAACCTGGCCTCGGAAGCCTCACGGAACCGGCCCGCGGAAAAAATTGCAGAACCCTCTTCCACAGGCTCCCACGCCTTGAATGAACCTTACGCCCGGCCGGCTCCAGACCCCCGAAGCTTCAGAACCTTCCTTGAACCTTCCACCTAGGCTGCACCCGGGAACCTCTAAAACCTCTCTTGAACCTTGCGCCTCGCGTGCACCAGGCCACCCCGAACCTCCGGGGCTGCTTGAACCTTGCCAGACCACGCGGAACCTCCGAAAACACCCCGGAATTTCCTTTGTCACCCTAGACTGGCCTGCACCAAAGCACCCCGCTACCCCCGAGACTTGCTTGAACCTTACACCTGCCTGCCCCGAAACCTCCGGAACCTTCCTGGTCTCAACGAAAGCTTGCTCGAGCGCGCCCGTTGGTTTTCCTCTGCTGCCTCCGGTCGAGGCGGATCAAAGCGTCATGGCAGACGCAAGCAAATGAAGATTCAGCTCAGGGCCCTTGATGGAAAAAGGGCCACACATGCCAAGGATGCCAAACGCGTTGCATGTGCCAGTGCACATTTGTCACCGGTCTTAATTCTTTCGCGTCTTGGCATCTTCGCGAAGTTGGCACAGCGGCTCTTGGAGCCATGCTCTGAAGCGCTCTCTCAGAACGGGGTCCACCTTCGTGAGGCCGTCTGCCCACATCACCTGTGTGGGAACCCACCGCATTGCCGAGGGTGCCACCGTCTCCTGGATGGCCCTGATCTTGACCATGGACCTCTTGTCCGAAGTGGTCTTGCCTTCGGCGACGATGCAGTCATAGAGGCTCTTGGCGTCAGTCGCCTGGAGGTTGGCAAGCCTGCATCCGATGCGGTGAGCTGGCTCATTGTAAAGCAGCTCGGATAGCATCATGTTCAAGTACGCCGCCCGGTCAGAGCCCTCATCTGCTGCTGAGGCTTCTGCTGCAAGAGTGCTGCGACAAACCCGGCTGCTTCTCCCTGATCTCCAATCCAGCACCGATCCCTTGGTGATGGTCTGCGTGGCCTGAGCGGTGCTAAGCACCGTGATCACGCCAAACTGGGAGCTTGAGTTGTAGGCGTTGGCCCAGCTGCTATCCGTGTAGGTCAAGACAACTGATGCCTTCGTGACCGGCACGTCCACTAGGGTGATCCCGCTCTCCTTGGTGTCCTTCAAGTAGGCGATCGTGTCGTAGAGCATCTTCAAGCTGTAGATGTCTGTTTCTTCCCCCTTGTTGGCCAGGGATACTGCTGGCCCCACTTCAGGTCGGCTTTGCCCGGCAAGCCACTGGAGGCATCCAGCCACGCTCCGAAACTCGGAGGACTCGGCTGCCGAAAGGCACGGGGGTTGAAGAAGCCGTCCTCGTGGTAGTCGCCCTTCATCGAGTCCATCTATGAACTCTGTCTGCGTGATCTTCATGCGGAAGCGGCCGTTCACGCGGAAGACCGTGAGCTCCTTGCCCTTGAACTTCACCGGGGTGTTCTCCTTGAACTCCGTGCGCGCTCCCCAAGTGAACAGCTCGTAGATCTCGCTGATGTCATAGTCTTCGCGGTACACTCCGATGAAGTCGTCGACGTACACCAGGATGATCGATACTGGTTCTCCAGCTTCGTACTTCACGTAGAGCATGGGGTCGAACTTGTGCGAGCGGTAGTTCTTCCCCTTGATGCGGGCTGAGACCAGCTTTCCCCAAAGACGCGGGGCGTTGGTGAGTCCATAGATGTTGCCGATCACCTGGAACAAGCGCGAAGTCCACCTGCCGGATCTCCTGATCAAAGGATCGTCTGGTGCCCACATAAACAGTGGTAGTGTACGTTCGTCATCCGGCTGGTCGCCCTGCAGAAAGGCCGTGGCAGCGTCGGCGGCCCAGCCTCGCCAAGCCTTGCCCGAGTTGGTGAACTCGAGGATGCTGTAGAGGATGTGCTCGCTCGGACGTCCTGGTAGTGGTGCGTCACGAGATAGTGAAGCCAAGTCGGGGTCGTTGCAACCGATGCAAACGATCCGGCACTTTGATTTCAACTCACCTTGGCCTCTGTTCTTGTCCCGGTACGCCGCTCTGGACTTCATGACTCGACGTCTGAGTCGGGAGTCGGCCAACACTGCGGTTGCCTCCTTGTCGTCGAGCGGCCTGATTGAACCCCACTGGACCCATGAGTCCTCCTCGACCTCGATCGCGTGGATGTACTTGTCGATGGTGTGCTTGTCCGAGGAGATGATCTCCCGCCAAGGAACCTCGCGGCCCAACTGCTTGAGCTCCTGGCGTGTCAGTTTGTTCTTGCCTGGTTCCGGGGTGTGGCCGCCGTCTGAGTCAGCGCTGCTGTCAGATTCGTGCGCTACCTCCTCGGGGACGTCCTTGGTCCTCTGGTCGGAATTCAAGTAGACCTTGTAGTACTGGTCCGGTTTCTTCCCAAACCCGATATCCGGGCTGCCATCGAAGCCAGAGTAGATCCGGCTGATCTCTCCGTCTTCGTCCTTGAGGAGCGTGTGCATCGTCTCGAAGGGGCGTTTGGCTGGAAGAAGACTCTCGATCGTTTCCATGTTGACTTCCGCCGCTGCTGATGCCGCGCTCTGTTGCCCGGTAGAGTGTGGTAAGCTTCCGGAAGGTGCCGGCACTGGCACGTGATCATCTCGTTCCGGTTGTCCTGGTTGTTGAGGTTGACTTCCAGGGGTTGTCGATGCCGGGGACGAGTAGATTGTAGTTGCTGCTGATCCTGCTCCATCTGCCGGAAGTGGTTCTGCTGGTAGAGTCTGTTGAGGAGGTTGCTCACTTCCCGAGGCAAGTGCTGGTGGTTCTGGACTGATGTCATGGGCTGGTAGAGGTACTCGTTGTGAGGTAGGAGTCCGTGATCGTGCCCGTGAAATCGTCGTGCGCGGTCGGCTCGATGCGCGGGACCTTGTCGGGTCGTGGGTCACGATTGCTCGCGGATCTTGAAGGTCATCCGGGCCATCTCCTCGTTCGTCTTCGAAGACGGTGTCCTTCAGGGACTTGCTCGCGTCCTTGAGGCATCGGATGTCCTCCTCTGAAGGCGTCCATTGCTCGAAACCCACTGCTGCTCGTAGTTGTTCCGAAGTCACCAGGATGGTCGTGTGTCCGCTACGAACCCAAGCGGTCTTCCCGGGTGAATCCCAGGAAAGAAACCTCGCTGTGGTCCAGGCTCCTCTCTTCTTCGTTCCGACCTTCCTCCACCTCCAGAAGGCACAGCGGTCTCCAGGCGTGAGGTCGGTGATGCCTGTCCTTTTTGTCTTCCTCAGCAAGGCCCTCCGCAGAGATTGGTTGACGTTCAACTCTGCGATGCACTTGATGGCTTCGGATCGCAGGAGGTCGGCCTTGATGATCGAGTCCTCGTGCTCCTGCTTGTTGATGATGCCCGTGGGAGATTCCAGTATTCCGGTCATCTGTGGAAGCCGTCCGAATACTGCTTGATATGGAGTTCTCCCTCTCGTATATGTGCTGGAGTTCATTGCGTAGACGCCGCAGGCGATTGCTTGGTCCAAGGTGTGGTCGTCCAGGATGGCCCACTCGTCCACGATCTTCTCCAAGATCACCCGGAGGATGGCGTTGCGGCGCTCCACCTGGCCGATCTGCCAGTGAGCTTCTGGCGGACAGCAATCGACTTCGACTCCTCGCTCCTGAAGCCAATCCTTGAAGACTCCCATGTAGGCCCCGTCCGGGTCGCACCGCACAGCCGCGGGCAGTCCGTAAGGCCAACCTTTCACCAGCGCGTCCAAGGTCTCTTGAGGCTCTCGTGATTGTAGTCGTACCGCCTGGCGCAGGTTGGTGGTGCGGTCGCAGATCCCCATGATTGGGTGGTTCTTGGAGTCCAGGGTGCGCAGGTAGAAGTTGTCGATCTGGAGCTCATCTCCAAACTGACCGATGTGGAGTCGAGGCGCTGTCGAAGGGCGTGGCTTCTGAGGTGCCTGCAGCCTTTTGCACGTCGCGCACTCCAGCGCTTTCACAGCTGCTATGACTTCAAGTGGTGCCGTCCCATGGTAGGCCAGCATCCTGCTCATCTCTTGCGCGGAACAGTGTCCGAGGTTCAGGTGTAGCCGTGCCACTGATCTCTTGACCTCCAGCGGAACCGGCTTCTCCAGCGTGGGGAAGGTGATGTCCGTGGGAAGTCCGGGCAGCGGCAGTCCGTGGTGTTGCTCCTCAATCGCTTCCGGCTTCAGGTCCTCCTCGGTCGGGGTGCCGTAGAAGAACATCGCCAACCTGACCGGTTTACTGAACCTCTGCTTTGGGAAGCGTTCGAGCGCAATGTCCTCGAACTCCAATTCCTTCTCACCGCTGCTGTAGATGATGAGCGCTCCCCTGCGGGTGTAGGCGAACTCTGATGGCATCCTTCTGGATGTAGGCACCGGCGCGACTTGAATCCGCGCCAAGTTCCAGCGCGTCAGCTCTGCGATCTGCTTGCCGAACTCGGATTCCAGCGGGATGTTGTAGTGTCTCAGGGAGGTTCGAGACGTCTCCTGGTCCACCCGAGTCACAACCGGATCCCATGATCGTAGGTCCTGTACGGGCGTGGTCGCCCATGTGGTGTAGATTGGACCGAAGCGTTGTGGGTCTCGGCGTTGTGAGACGGTCTGCAGGGTCTTCAAGATGGTGTGGACCATTCCCGGCGGGTAGGCCTGTGATCCGCGGGTTTCCGATCCTTCGATCGGGGTGCAGTAGTGCTGCTGCTCCTTGGAGAGCTTCTGGGTCATTGCCTCGAGGATCTCGTTGCAGTTGCTCGCGATCTTAAAGGCCTTGATCGCCGGCTCCATCTTGCTGTTCTCCAAGCCGTAGGCGCCGCCGTGGAATACCGAGGTACCCACGCCAGGATGGTCTAGTAGGCGCTCGACTGCTGGCTCCCATAGTCGAGACTTCTGCGGGTTCTCCAGCACGAAGTATCGGTTCCCTCGAACCTGCTCTTCACATAGGGATGTCGCGAATTCCAGCATCGGGCGGTCCTTCTCTCTGACGGCGCGTAGTTCGTCCATACGGTGGCTGTAGTTCATGTTCTCGTTCATGATCGTGTACTGGGTGCACGGATAGCCCAGTATCAGCATCAGAGGTCGAAAGTGCCGTACTGCTCGCCGGATCTCTTCTCGGTCTTGCTCTGACGACAGATCCCAACCGCTCGTGTAGTCGATGGGCTCGATGGCGTTGAGCTTGTACTGCTTCGCGTGGTAGCTGATGGAAGCTTCTCCAGCGAAGAGCTCCATGACTTGCATCTCCTTCTGGTTGGAGTCGTCCGTTGCCTTCTCCTTGCCCTTCTGGCTGAAGAAGACGGTCATAATGTCGACGCCTCGCGGGTGGTTGTCCTTGGCGGTGAGTAGGGCGTCGTAGATGTCTCTTTCCTTCTGCAGGGTTCTTGCCGCTGACGACCAGTCCCCGCTCAGCCTTCTTCGAGTTCCCAGTCGTAGTCCGTCTCCAGCGGGTCCGACTCCTCCTCGTCCGCTAGGATGAACTCCTGCGCCAGCCTGTCCTGTTTCTTCGAGGACGCCTTTGACCTCGGTCCACAAATCGGCGGCGGTGCCGCTGGTCCCGTAGTTGTCCGTGCCAATCTCGTTCTCCCGGATGAAGGTTGCCCCCTGGTTGAAGCCGTGGAGGTCGTCGAAGTGTATCCCATTGCCTCCTGAGCCTGTGGTGAAAGCATCGCCACGACTGCCTGCAGGATAATCTGTCTCTCCACCATCAAACCTCGGGGTCCTCGAGGGGCTGTCACGGTATTGGCAGAGGACGGCAGCGGCAAGCGTGAAGACTTTTGTGAGTCGTCCGAGTAAGGACGATGGACCCACTTCTCTTGGTTGGGGTCCCAGCGCCACTGTCTTCCGCACCTGTCGCGCCGGGCAAACCTGCCGTACATGTTGCCGAACCGCCTGCAGCTTTCGTGCTGACAATCTTCCGGATGTGGATCCAGCCATGGAGGCGTTGCCTCGAGCAGCCACTGCTGGTTCCGTAGCCCCAGGCGCACCGCCTTGACCATGTGGAGGATCAGAATCGCCTCCGCCTTGATCAAGTGGTAAGCCAACCGCTTCCAACCGACAAGCCATGGCGGCGGCGTGGCTTTCATAGCCTGGGGGCTGTGCTGACTGAACTGAGCCCGAACTCTCTGAAGTCAAAAGTTCCGGATCGGGGCACTGCCAGTCGGTTGCGAGAGCGATGTCACGCCAAGCCGGGTGATGTTGAGCTTGCTGGGGAAAAACTGTGATGTCGACCGCCAGGTGACCCCCAACATTGATTATCTTACACTCGATCCCCAGGGTGGCGAACCACACGACCATGTTTGGCAGATCAATCACCGCTCCAAGGCGTTGCAGAAGCTGGTTGCTGGCCAGTAGGGGAATGTCAGCATCCAACATGCCCGCACCCAAGATCAACGGAACCTCTGTGTTGAAGCAAACGGGGAAGTAACGACGGTTACCTGCTTGGACGGGTCCGCCCTTGCCAAACTGAAAGGTGTCGCTAGTGGTGACCAGGGTGGATCGAAGGTTGTGGGCCGCGAGGACTTCTTCATGACATTTGGCCCATCTGGTCCCACAGCCCACAGCACGTACGTTGGCGCGCGGTGTCCAAAACCAAAAGGTTCGAAAACGGGTACTCGCCATCGTCCCCCAAATAGACCTCGTTCACCAAAAAGGTCATGTTGACCAAGAACATACTCCCTTGATCTTCCTCGGTCTCTCTGACAACGGTGCTGCCGGCATCATGATGGAGGATCCGGAGCACCTTTTTCGCGCCAGACCCCTTGTCCTTGGAGTTGCTCTTGCCCTTGGAGGCGTCCTACCGGAAAACTTCCTTCCTAAGGTGATGCCGCTGAGCTTCTCCATGCCCAGGGTCCAAACTGGTTGGCGTCCTCCCCGTCGAACTCTTCGTCATCCTCCGCCAGATCAGTCTGGTAGACGGTGGCCTTCTCGAACTTGCCGTTGCCCTTGTTCCCGGAGTAGCCCTTAGACGTGAACGGGTTTCCCTTGCCTTTCTCGCGTCCTGCACCTTGTCCTTTTCCTCCAGGGTGTCCCGACGAAGTGTCTCGGCCTTTCCCTCCTCGGTAGGGCAGTCCGTCGCGACCTACAACTGGTGGGGGTTGCTTGTGCTCCGGGAAGCTCATGTTGAGCGAGTCCGAGATGCTCGCGAAGTCCAGGCGGTAACCACAACCGATGAGGACCAGACGCTGGGACTCCGGGGTCAGCTTCGCTCGATCAAGAAGTCTGGAACCCCGAGCCTCCTCATCGTACACGCCGGAAACCTGGATTCCGGCGCTCTGCGGTGCCTGTTCCGTTCGTCGGTGTCTCGACGTGCAGGACCTCATGCTCTCGTTGTTGTAGCGGCTCACCGACTTGAAGTCGTGCAACAGCTTCCGCTTCTGGAACACCACCTTTGACTGGAGGCCATCCTTCAGGGAGTTCATGATGTAGTCCAGTCCACCGGGCGAGTTCACCTTCTCCAAGTCCAAGTTCTCGGTCTCGTCCTCGGCCTCTCCGGTGAGCGACCCGTAGAGGAGCATGGCGGCTTCGCTCAAAGGCATCCAGGCGCGGATCTGCATCCGCCACAGTTGCACCTTTCTCTCAAACTTCGCGAAGCTGCGCACATCCTCACGCGAGTAGCTCCACTTGGGCGGAACTGGAGGCGCTCCACTCCTGAAGCGAATACCGCGTTCCGGCCCATCCGTGAGTTCCAGCTTGAGCTTGCTTTGTCGTGTAGAAGACCGCGTCGAAGGTCACCCGTGGGGTCCTCAGGAACGGGCTCGATGTCCTGCAGATCTCCAACTCGTGGAACTTCTGGGCCTGCGGCGGCTTTAGGACGTGCACGGTGTCCTGGTTCGTTACCTGCGGGAGGTTCTCGTGGTTCTCGAGCTCGAGGTGCTCGTTGTCTCCGTCGTGGTGCTCGTGCTGGGCGCCCCGGTTCATTCGGGTCAACCGTCGGGTCCTGGGTCGGCACTTCGGACTCTGCCTCCTCACGGACGTGGCCGAGCTCAGGCTCGTCCGGAGGGTCGCCGTGGCCGGCCCTTGACCCCGCGTTCCGAGATGCCCTCGGAATGCTCCAGGTCGTCGCCGAAGATGTAGTCGAGTGACCACCGCCGGGCGCTCCAGGTGGTGCTTGTTGCTGGTCTCCAAGGGGCTCCTGTGGTGCTGAACCATGCGGGACAAAGACCCAGGTGCCGTAGGCGGTGATCTTCTTGGTCGGGCTCTTGGACCTATAGAAGTCGTTACCGCCACACTCAGCACAGCTCATCTCATAGCCTCGCGGTTCACCCTCAGGAAGCGGCGCATCGCAGGCGAGGCACAAAGTGACCCAGTCGGCGGATGCCTGACTGTCAGCAGCCTCAGCCATTGGTGGCTCTCCCAAGCCCTGGATCGTAGGCTCCTTTTTCGACGAAGCTCTGGAAGACGGGGTCTCCATGTGGTAGAGCTTCGGAATGAGGGCCATGCACAAGGCGCTGGCGCCTTAGCCGAGCAGGCTCCGCTACCAGCTCAAGGAACGCTTGCTCGAGCGCGCCCGTTGGTTTTCCTCTGCTGCCTCCGGTCGAGGCGGATCAAAGCGTCATGGCAGACGCAAGCAAATGAAGATTCAGCTCAGGGCCCTTGATGGAAAAAGGGCCACACATGTGCACATTTGTCACCTGGAACCTTACACCTGGCCTGCACCAGACCACCCCGAAACCTCCGGAACCTTGCTCGAGCCTGACTCAGAGCCCCCCCAAGCCACCCCCAAACATTTTCTGGGCTGAGACCCCTTGGCTTTCAGCTGTTGGGAAAAACGGGAAGGGCTGAGCTCTTAAGGCCATGCGATAGAAAATCCGCGGGTCGACACAGAGATCGATTGAGCCTCCGAAGGCTTGTTGTCAAAGGGCAGGAGGAAACCGTATGTCCACCAAACAAACAACAGCTGTTTTCGGTCGAAGCAAAGGCCATTGAGGCAGCCGGCCCAAGCCCCACACGCCCTGTTTGCCCGCCTGGCCATCACCGGCCTGAGCAAGAATGAAGCAAGGACCAGTCACAACGCCGTGGAGGTTCCCTGGTTGGCGGACGCGCAATGGAAGCCGGGTGCTTCGTTGAAAAGTTGGCGGATTCAACTGCTACATCCTCAAAGCGTCAAAACCGGTCCAAAGGGGCTAGCCCAGATTGTTTCGCCCCACCAAGGGCTCGAACCACCTACATTAGCTTGGTCACCCAGCTCAGGCTCAGGACCCTTCCATCTCAATTGATTTATTTTGGTCTCCTAGTGCCGTGGCTTTGCGTTTGGTTTTGTTTTGCACTTGTTGTGTACTATTGGTTCCTGCTCAAGACCATCGGCCTAAAAAGGTTTTCATCTAAACCAACCACTCCAATACTGCAGAGCCGAAGGGGAGTCATGGGATTGTGGCCCTTAAAAGTCCTTAATGCTCAATGGTGACTACTTGACTATTTGTCTTCAGTCAGACAAAAGTTTATGCTTCTTGGCTGTTTTGAAAAGACGGTCAATTATCACACCCTGTAATTTGTGTAATAACAAACAGCTTCCCGGGTCCAAAATTGACCGTGCAACCCCCCGTAGGTCTCTTCCTAGGGGACAGGGGTGTAATCGCTCTGACCATCAAGAAGCGTCGCTTGCTGTCTGGCCTGTGCGTTACGGAAGGGGTGTGGAGTGCAAGTTCATTTGCCTTTTGGCACCAAAGAAGAGGTTGAACAGACGCGAGTGCCACAAAAGTATGTTTACTGCCCTTTCTGTCAGACAAAGGTTTATGCATCTTGGCTGATTGAAAAGACTTTGTGGGGTCAGTCACGGATCGAACTAACAAGTGTGTGTTGTGCGGCAGACGTGGGACGGTCAATTGTCACGGCCTTCCAAATTTGGAATCGACCGCGCGCACCCCCTTGGTCTCTTCCTGAAGGATTCTTGGGGGAATGGGTTGTAAGCGCTCTGACCTTCAATTGGCCAGTGAAATAATACAATGCCCCCCCTTGTATGACTCTCAAACAGAATATGCACCACATAGACTCCCCCCTCATGCCTCCAGCACCAACGGCATCGTGAAGCTCATCTCCGATAGCACGAGCTCATCTATCGCGGAGCACGATGTTATCGGTGGTCAGATTGGCCCCGGGGAGAAGTTTGGCATACGAAGAGGAATCCTGCACTTTGGGGGCGGCAGACATTTTGCCGATCAGGTCGGCTCAAACGATCTCAAAAGCAGAACCTGCACGTTCGCGACCAAACCAAGAATACCTGCCGCGGGCGCGAAACAGATACGCGCCGGATCTCAAGAAAATGGATTTGTCAAGCTGCTCGGCCCTCGGTGACGAGCACTGAGCCGCCAACCTTTGACCTGAACCTTCGGGCACCTTCGAGAAATTGAATGCCGGGCACGGTGTCCAGTCGGTCGAAATCTGCAGCAGAGACATGCAGAAAACTTCAAGCAGTTTCGGCTTCACATGCCACATGAGTAAGGCTCTCAAAGCCATTCACCACTCACCGACACTCTATGATCTTGATTGCTATTGATTGCAATCGAGTGCAACTAGTTGTAAATCAGATTGTGAAGAGCTAGGTCCCGAAATATTCCAAGTTGGGAACGAGGGAAACCCTATCGAATTCCCTGGCTTGCACTTGCAATATTCAGTCTTCCAGGTGTGCCGGTGATAAGCACAGCGCCCTTTCTTCGTCTCCGAACAGAATGCTTCGAACCCAAAAATGTGCTTCGGCTTCCGTATGCTTCCCTTCACACCGACTCAAGGGGGACCAAAAAACACACACACTCCCAAAGGAGAAAAGCAAGTGGAAAACAAACTGGCAAGCAATAACATGACGCCAACGACAGCCATTCGAAGTGCAAATCAAAATCACAAGCTAGAAGCAATGGGAAACAAGCCATTCCTCTTCCCCGCCAGATTGTAAAAGATCGTTGCAGTCGAAGACATATTGAAAACCCTGTAGACCAGTCACCCGGGAAATGTTCATCGACTTCCCCCAGATACTGTTGACCCCAGATTAATAAACCGATTGTATTGATAGGAAGGTGCTCCCCAAAAGTGGTATGAATCCCCAAAAAGGGGACACACACACACACACACACTACTCAAAAAATCAACCAAGAGTTCTGCTTAATCCGGGGTTCCCCCCATAGACTGAAACCTCACCGCTAATTGGGGGGGGGGGGGTCTTGGGCAGCCTGGCTGGGGTTGGATTTCACGCGAAAACCAAAAGTTTTGACCTCTTTTTTTTTAACCAACCGCTTTGAAATCCATTTTTGGGGGGGGTTGGGGTCTGGTCCAACCATCAAACGACGCCGAGCGCCTGCGTTGCTCCGGCCTGCGCCGTCGGAAGCTCCCGCCATCCGCGCTGCGAGAGCCAGCTCCTCGAGTCCGAGACATCCACAACCCACAACCCACAAGCCTGTGCAAATTCTGAGGCCGGTAGAAATGCCGGCCGAAGCCCTCAACCCTTCAAAACGAAAAAACCAAGGTTCTCCGAACAAAGGAAGGTTCGAGAAAAAGCTGCTGGCCTATGTCTTAAAGAATGCAAACCCGCCTGAAAGGAGCAGACTGCGGTAAAGTGGTTAGTGATCCCGAGTGAGTATCCCAATTGGAGGGCCTGCTCCAAACCAGAAAAACTGCTGCTTGCTGGTAGGTTGCAGGAAGGGTACTGGTACACTCCTTGTGGGGAGAGTGCCCTCCTCATTTCGAATGCTCTTGAAAAGAGAGATCGAAAGGAGGTCCCCCATTCTTCAAGTCAATCTCTTGACCATGCCTAATATCCACTCACCAAACGACGCTCCTTACTAAAAGAATGCTCGTAAAGTCTCGTCCTGGGGACCTCTGTCCATGACAAGATGTCAAGGTGCAGACGAAGAAAAAAATCTGGCCTGGGAACCCAGGACCCCCCCCGCCCCCCCAACCCACCGCTATAAAATGGTTTGTTCAGCAACTCCTTTGCCCTATTTGGGCGATGTTGAGAGTCATGTTTTGGGTGGGGGGGGGGGGGGGGGGCGGGGCCTCGGCGATTTGTGGTCAAGGAGAGTCATTCGAAAGCGGCACCCCTTTCAAAGCCTCTTTGACGGTTTTTGGCTTATGAAACGCCCAAGCCATCAAGGATCACCTTCTGGCGGAGGCTTTCGGACAGTTCGCCACTGTTTCAAAAAAGGGCGCACCAGTTGAAATAGAAACTCAAAATCAGGCGAAACAACACGTGGAAACCTAAATTCAAGCCGTAAAGGTAAAGTATCTTTGACCCACTGGTATGAATCCCTATGTCTTTTTTGAAGGTACCCTTTTCTGGTGGCTTATGGAAACAAAAAGGAAAACTCACCATTTTGGGGCGTGAGTCCAATCACATCGAAACAGGAGGAGTCAAAGCCGGCGAAATCTTCTTGACCCCAAAACAACCCATTCCATTTTGATCGGGGAAATCCCGTCCAGGGTGTCTTCCTGAAAGTTACCCTCGTGCTCTCCACCGATGTGTAGGATCCCTGGTGGGATGCGGAGACCAGATTCGGCACGGGTGACACCACCGCCATGTACTTTTGAGAACAGATGCAAGGGACACAGATATGGATCACCGCCTGAAGCACCCTCCTTTGCCCTCTTGGCTTCCATGTTCTGAGAATTGCCGAGGCGCAAGAAACACCGCCGCCGGCACGATGACGCGCCCGAAGATCACGTGGTCGTCCAACATGCGCCGCATCCTCGTGACTGGAGTCACCGTTTCCGACCCAAAAAGACCTGGACACCCATTCTGTGGGGAAAGTATAGGAACACTCGTGATATATATATATATATTATACAGGTATATGTAGTATATGGAGCATATTTAACAAACCGGCCCTACAATGGCCCCCTCTGCACCTCAGTCGTCTCATTGTTTTTCTTGCAAAATACCATATCCAGGACCAAGCCCTCAACACGCAAAGACTACAAGAGACACGCAGCCTCCGCAAAACACGTGCGTTGTTGAGAACCAATTTTACGGAACAAAAGGAAAGACACAAGTCCTACAAAATGTATTCTCTACAAACTGAAGTGACCCAACCCAAGGCGAGAACCCCTCTTTCCCTATTAATAAGCATCTATACAAGGGGGAGCATCTGGAATTCAGAATTAAAACCGCAGCCCGCAGCGTCCTGGAGGTGATAGGCGTGCTGAAGAGGACCTGAGCAGGATCAGCCCAACGCCCTCCCCCCGCCGCTTGTGGTCTGGCCCAAAGTTCAGTGCTTGCAGCACAAACCAAATTTAGGCCACAAAGGGCACTGGATCACCCCAAAGGTGGACATAAACCACTAAGTCATAACCAAAAACCTGGCGATAAATGGGCCAACCCAAAAGCGAGCAGCGAAGGGCCCCCCAACCCCGAGGCGCCAGCGCCGTTCTCCACATGCCGCGTGTCCAGCAGCGGGTGGCTGCGGGCCGACCATCGAAAAAGGCCCCGGCCTCCAAAACGGCAAACGGCGGCGCAAAAACGGCGCCTCGATTGGGAGGAAGTCACTGGGGGCCCTTCCTGATGCGTTTGCGGCTGGCGCTTTTCTTCTTGGAGGGGGAGGAATGGGCGAGTTGGGGGTTGGGCCTTGCTGCGGTTGACTTATTTTCTGTTGGGGTTGTTGGTGACCCCAAGCTGCTGGTTTCTTCCGCCAAAGGGCAAGAAGCTTGGGGCAGCATTCTAAGAAACCAGCCTGGGATTTGCAGGGTTCCAGAGCACTGCCCAGCCCATGGATGCACGGCGAACCGTCTTCGGCACTGATTGCCCCCCCCATGACTCATTCCGTCTGCGAAGTGGTTTGACTCACTTTGACACTCAGCCGCAAAACCAGTCAACAAGAACTTCAAGTTTGCATAGCCCTCGCGATCCCTACCAAACTGGTAGCACACCTCCTGAGCCAACCAGAAAATCCAACCCTATCGGTTTACCTTTGCAGGTAGCCAAGGGGAGCACCCTTCAACCATAAGGACACCTGGGATTCACTGAGCAAGGGTTGTACAAGACTGGGGGCTGAAGACGGTTCAACCAAAGGCCGGTCACGGAGTCACAATCAAGACCAGTCTACACAAGATGCAAAGAAGTTCAGGACCGGAAGCCCCAAGTAGCCTGCATTTCACCCCATCACTAGTCGCCTTCACCCAGTCCCTTTCCGCCGTCCGCGAACCGGGACTTGGGGACCCGAGCGCAGCGGCGGAGGCTGCGGGGGCGGCGGCTTCACCGCAAAGCGCTCGACGACGCAGTGCGCCAAGGTGCCGCCTGAGCCGCAAAGCGGCGACTCGGGTCTGACTTTTATACATAAGCAACCAACCGCCCATACCAAGCTTCCATCAACTTGGGTAAACCGCCCAGTGAGCCAAAAATGTCAACCCTGTAGTCAAAAATCGTCTAGCCAGAATGCCAACCCTTAAGGGGTCCAATTTCTATGTTTGGAAACACCAGACTTCTACTTCCAACCCTTTCCGGATTGCTGTGGCTTGGCAGGGATTCGTCCGCAGCATGGGTTCTTTTGGTATATCACTTCCTCGTGGCTTTTTGGGAATCAGTTGATTTCCGAGCAAATCAACCAGGTTGCCACAATTTGTGGTGTCACTTGCTCCACATTTGCCATAGCTCCCGGTATTTTTGCTCTATTCTACTCCCTTCCCTCCCGGTCATGCAGACTGCCACGGTGTCTGTCTCTCGCCCTTTCGGTTGTCCCATACACGCCGCATGCAAATGCGAGATTCGAGAGTATCTGCAGTTGCGGTCATTCCCAAAACCGGAAGTATGCTATGCCCATCAAAGGATCCTACCAGTACAGCATCGGGACCGAGCTTGCGGCATCTGTGTTCTGTCTTTGTCAGGCAAGATCCCGCCCCTGGACAAATGATGCCCGCGCAACTTCCCTTGCACGCGCAACTCCGCCTTGGCTACGCCATACGAAACCCCAATTCAACCAAAATGATACCCAGGCAAACCACCCTCCAGAACTCAAACAGGGCACCGCCAGATTGCTAGATGCGCTTCTCAAAATTAGGGACAAATTCCGAGGCGGTCGGCTTCCCTTTGGTTTCCCCTTTGAAACAGCGGTTCCCAAGTATGAGACGCCCTAGCTTAGCTTGAATGCTCAACATGGTCTTTAGGACAGACTGGGTCGGTTCAACTCTGGCCCCGGAGGCGAAGGATTGACCGAGGAGCTAGGCCTGGTTTCGGCTTTCGGGAAGGAGTCAAGGTTTGGATCCAGTGATGTTTTCTCGCTATTCCCGCTAGATAAAGAACACCCCTACCACTGTCCAACAAAATTGACAATGGTTTACTTTTGTATCTGCATCCCGCCCTTTCTGTAGGTTTCACGTGATGTAATTACCCCTTTCAAAATATCCGTGTTGTCCACCAACCCAAAAAACACACCCTACTGAAAAGACCTGCAAATGAATGGGCCGCCCGGCCGAAACCGAAAGAGGACACACCGCCCAGTGCCTGGCGTTCCCACCCTCCGTCCGTCAAATGGGCGAGCGAGTCTCGGATTGGCGAACTCTTGCAGGCTCCTTCCAAGGCGGGTAGGTTCATAACCCCCAACTCCATGCAAACGGTTCGGCTTCCAGTTTGCCCTAGAAGCAAGCCATTCATGATAGAGCTCGTTGAGCTTCTCCACCCCCTTCCAAAAGGACCGTTGACAAATCTGGAAACTTTGACTCATCTGGGCTTTGCTTGGCCCCCGCAACTGAAACGGTAAGAAAGGTGCTATTTTGGGGTCCGTGTTCTTCATGTTCAGCTTGGCCAAAGCTTTGGCCCTTCAATTGTCGAACCCGAACCCTTCAAGCGAGAAGCCGAAGGATCATTCGCTTGCTGAGTTCGGGAAACCCAAGGAAATCTCTCCCAGAACGACTGGAAGTTGGCTAAGGTGATGTTGCCAACGACTGGGTTGGAGATTGAACTCCGGACATGTGGCACTTGTGCGCGTCCCACGTGAAATCGACCTGCCTGGGCGGGCTCGGTGCGGACCTGGCTGTCCAGGCGCGCAGGCGATCACACGAAGTCTCTGAAGACCGAAAAGGGGAACATTCATACACACACACACACAAACACACCCAACACAGTCCCACCAATCATAGCCCCCAAAACCAAAAATGAAGTTGCGGTCCTTGCGCCGGGACATCGCGCCTTTCAAACACCGAGGCCTCCTCTGTGGATCCACCCCTTGGCTTCTCTCCGCTCGGCGCCTCCTGCGGCGCCAGGAGCGCGACGCTGGCGACCCGCAGGTGCACCAAGGGCAAACAGAAGCCCAGGCCTCCGGGCGGGGGCTCGTCCTTTTTTGGTTAAAGGGAAATCTCAGGGGGAAAACCACAATTTTGAGGTTGCAATAAGAAACCATCGTAAGCACATGGAAGAAGAGATCCTCCAAAGTGATTCGCGCGCGTGTTTTTTTGTTTTTTCCGGAGATCGCAGCTGCTGCCATGCCTGCGCAGAGCCGTGCGAGGCCCGCCAGGCCGGCAGCGCCCTCGCTGTGGCCGAGGCCTCGCTCGGAGGGTGTCCGGTGTGGCTGATGCTTGTTGAGGGCAGCGGAGAAAGCAAGGTCCATTTTGGGGGCCTTGTTGCTTTTCGCTTTTCGCAGGTCCCCCCTAGAATCGGTGTCAGTAAACCAGAAAACTCCAATGTGCCCTGACCGACCAAGTGCACTAGCAAAAAAGACAGAAACGGCTGTCAAGCACTGAAATGGCCCGGAAAGGTACAGTCCCAAAAAAGAAGAAGAAGAAGAAGAAGGAGTGAGCAAGTATTTTTGGAGCAAAAGGGTCGAATGACCCAAACAAAACATCTCACCATGCGTGGCATGGAGGTCGAGCCCAGCAGCCAACCTTCTGACATCCGATCCATCAGGCAAAAAACATCAAGTTCTGCGCCGGAATGGCAGTGGCAGTGGCAGGTTGGATACAAACAATCCTGTAGGTGGCTCAAGCCGGGCCTAGCTGGATCGAGCCTTTCATTTGGCAACCCTCCCCTGCTTCATCCTACTGTTCAAGATCTAGACTTGTTTGATTAAGTTCATCTTTGTATGTTGGTTCCAGCCACCAAACAGCAGGCGCTTGAAAGCTCAAAGCTCAGAAAAGTCGTGTTGCCGTAGGACTTCGCCCTCCTGAAGGGCCCCTTTCGGGACGCGAAAACTCATGAACCCAAACCAGCACCCGGGTCCCAACCACTGCCTTTTGCCCACGTCCAAAACCCAGAGCACCGTCCAAAGCGGTGGTTGGGTCCCAGCTTGAGCATCCCGAGCTCCCGGGCAAGTCTTGCCAGCGGTGACCAACACTCCTGCCGGGCCCGAGTAAGGAAGGCCGCTCCAACACAGCAGCAACAGACATCTGCGAATGGGTCTGCGATTGCTGACTTGAAGTTGAGGTGGAATGCGGAAGTCCAGCTTGACACTTTGACATTCATCCAGTCAAATGCAGGTTGTGGGCTGGACAGAGACGAGAGACAAACCCTACACATTGAAGTAGATTGAAGTGCTTATAGCGTTTGTGAAGAAAAGCGAGCGAATCCCCAGATATAACATTGCAAACGAGCCCGAAAACAAGGCTGCAAACAAGGCCTGGAACTATTTAACTGTTTAACGCCAATTCAAACCAAGCAGGTTCACTTTCGCCCTTCCCGTCCAAGCAGGTAAACCACGCACCAACCAGCCAGAAAGTCAACGCATTCCGGAAAATGGCTCTGAACAAGCGACTCTGACCTGAACCTGAGGTGACTCCATTAAAAAGCAAAAAAGAGTATCTGCGTTTTTTGGAGAACTTTAACAGAAAAGCCAGAGAATTGAATCAACCCTCGAAGGTGGCTCCGTCAGCCCAGTGTCGAAGCGCCAAAGCAACTTTGAACCGCCATGGGCCACTGGCCACTGGCACAACTGCAGGAGGCATGCTAGGTACCACTTAGGGAACCTGCAGTAAAGCAACAATCACCTAGAATTGCACCTAGAAAACCTTCTAGAGGGGCTGAGTAGGCATATATATGTTCCAGGCTTCCTTGCCCCCCCCCCCACCCCCCCCCAATGGTCATGCTCAGTCAAGAAGGTAGCACAGTGTGACCCTACAAGCCCCCCGCCCTGTTGTGGGATGGGTGGCGGGGGTCCATGGTTCTCACCCCCCCCGCCGCCCCCCTGTGGGAATGGGGGTTGGGGAGAATGGTGGCACAGTGTGACCGCAAAGCCCCCCTCGACCATGGTTCCCACACCGCCCGCTGGGGTCTATAATAGGTAGCAAGCAAAGTGCGTTTGCCACTGGCGCGTTGCAGCGCACTTGGTTAGCACTTGGTTGCGGCGCTGCAAACCACAAACTGCGTCGTGGCATCGCGCAGTGTCAATTGCGACAGCGCTGCAACTTGTCGCGTGCTTGCAAAATGAGCAAATCGCATTGCAGCGCAACACACGAACAGCGCCGCAAACGCGCCTGCAATGTCGCGCGCACACTGGAGCAAGCCGCCCCACAAGCCCCCCCCCCTGTGAGGGTGGGGGGGGGGCCAGCGTCCCCCCTGGATGGACCCATACCATTGGGGGGGGGGGGGGGCTGGGGACTGGAAAAAAATATATATATATATATATATATATATATATATATATATATATATATATATATATTTGGTCAAAGCATGTGCAACCATGGTTGCCCACAAATGACTATGGCGGTTGCTAACCCACTTCTTCCCACTAGTTCTCTAAGTGATAGATACATAAACAAATTTCAAAAAAATCATATAAAAATGGCCCGTCTCCCGAGCGCTGGCCTCTCTTCTGCAGCGGCACCAGCTCCACGGCATCCCCCAGCGTCGTGCCGGTTCCGTGGGCCTCCTGAGCCGAGGAAGCGCGAGAGCGGGGGGGGCGGGGCCGATGCTGTTGAACCCCGGAGGTTGGAGATGGCCCTTGGAAGATGTGGATGGACAACACGCGCCAGCTGATGGCGTAACCGGAGGGATTTGAATCGGGGTTCATCCGTTCAAAACTGGCTCGCTTTTGTGGATCTTGTCCATCCACAGCATGGCCGCGAAGTCAAGCGTGCCCCCTCGCCCCAGTTGGATGTTGCCGTGGCAAGCTTCTTGCACCTATGAGGTGGGGTTTGGGCCCTTTACATCTACTGGACGTGGCCTCTCCGATCCAGAGAATGAGGGTCAATCTGCCTAAATACCCCTCCCACCCACATTCAGGGGCCATGTACAAGCTGTGCAAGGCAGTATGTATATGTTGTTAAGATGTGTATGTAAGCTAACCAAACGGCACCACACAAGCATGCGATAACTCTTTTATCCAAGCAATGTGTTGGTGCCAGGGACTCATCTTCCCCTGTCAGATGTCAACGGCTGGGTGGGCCCCATGGGCCACCCGCCACAAACTCTCAAAAACTGAAGAACGGGTGTGCAGACTGATAGCGCCCGCCCCTGAGCCGGGGCCCGGGGCACCCAGGCCACAGGGGGGTCTGCCACCAGGGGAAGTGAGTCACCCACCGGCTCCGGTCACGGGAGCATGGGTGGGCCCACGCTAAGATCAAATGCATCTCCATTCAGGAGACGCGGGAGAAAAACGAACTCCTCGCAGAGTTCCTGTTTGGGGACCCTGTGCAAAGGGTCGAACCCAGAGAAATCTGGGTGCGTCAGCTCATCAGCCCACTGGTTGAATTCCCGGGGCACGTGGTTGGCCGCCAGCGAGCAGCCATGGGTGTGGAGCAGGAAGACCAGCTCCATCAGGATCGCCGCGGTGTAGGGCTTCTTGGATCCAAGGTTGAGCATCGCCATGACGTTGCCCTGATTGTCACTGCCCACCGGGAGTCGGACCCGGGAGGACAGAGGGCCTTGGTGCGTGAGGATCATGTTACAGAGGAAGAGCGTGCCCAGCATTTCCAAAGCCGCAATCCTCCGCTTGGGATCCCCATTCTTGAATGCCCACGGGTACTCTTCCACGTGGATCTGCTCGTGGAACCAGTACACCTCCTTCTTTTCTGGCTCCATTTTATTGGAGCACCATCCTCCCACAAATGCCAGTCCTTCGTCCGAGGCGCTAGCATCGCTGCAACCCCACCAAGAGGACTTCGGCAAGTAAGGGGAGTACTGGACGAAGGGCGTGTTGAAGAGGAACCGCAGCATGAACGCCAGCATCCTGACCACCTTGGGGGGTTTCCCCACCGTGGTGGTGGCCATCTTCCAGGCCCAAAGTGGCTGAAGCATCGACTTCGCCAGCGGACATGCAGCAGTTGCCCATTGGATGCGGCCCAGGGCCTTCTCGATGTCCTTTGAGTGCATCGCCTGCCCTTCCACCATGGTCTGCAAGACCTCCATCACCAGGATGTGTTTGTTGGCGGCCATGAGAACCTGCGGGATGTTCGGGTGGACCACGAAGCCCAGCCACGTGTTGACCTCCGCCAAATGTGTCTTCTTCCAGCTAAGCGGGGTACCCAAGGCCAGGAGTGTTGCCAACAGCGCCACCGCCAAGTTTACTGCCCCCTCGCTGCGAAGCAGCCACAGGAAGTCATCCACAAAGACGAAGTTCCAATCCACTTGAGGGAAAAGTGCGTAGAGGACCCTGAGTAGAAGGGCTGCCAGGCGTCCCCAGTAGGATTGGGCACTGGCCATGCCGTATGTGCCTACCTTGTTCACCCACCATTCTTCCCCCAGTGAAGCCACCTGGAACCGCCAGTCCTTCCTGAGGACCTTCACTCTCCGGTGGGCCTTGGTGACGTCCGCCTTGAGCAGCACCCACCTGGTGCCCGGCTCCGGCCATAGCCAGCCCTCGGGTGGAGGTTTGACGACCTCCTTCTCGGGGCCAGGGGCACCCTGAGAGGGAGGTCCCTCCGCAGCTGCCGCACCATCCAGCACCGTCGGAGCCGTCGTCCTTTCCACCGTCTGGTTCCTGATGGTGTCATTGGCCCCGCCCACCGAGCCATCGTAGATGGTGCGGATCTTGTCCCCTTCGTCGATGCCCGCTAGGGGGTGTGGACAAAGGTCCTCAATCTTGCAGCCACAGCGCGCTGCTGCCTCCACCTTGGTGAGGGGGCCCTCTACCATGCCCATGGGGACCTCCTCCAGGAATGTGCCACGGATGAGCTGAAGTGATCCGCTGAGGGGTAGTTACCCCGGCCCGTGGGCTCCTCCCCTTTTAGCTCCTTCTTGAGTGGCCAGATGCCCGGCGAGGCTAGGGGTGGGCCCGTGACCCCCAGTGGGACCCCTTGTTCCAGATCACGCTGTGCAAGATGTCTAGGAAGAAGGGTTGGCCTTCCGCTGCCCCCGGCGCCAGGATCTCCCTGATATCCTCCAGCAGATCCTCCGGGAAGGGATGTGACCCGTCCCCCAACGAGAGCGACTCCTGGAGCTTGTCCCCCCATGGCGACGTGAGGACACGGGCCGATCCGAGATCTCCATGCAATGGCGTGCCCATGGCTCAGGGGAAAGAGTTCCACCCCGAAGTTCGACCGCCCCGCCAGCCGGCTGTGTTGGTGTCCGGACCTCCGGATTGTCTGAGGCCGAGACCGGAAGTGAGCCCAAGGTTAGTCCCGCCAACGCTTGCTGGCCGGCCTTCAGCCTCAGGGACTGGCGCTTGTTGTCCCCCGGCGTGCTGGGAGATGGTTCCCTCTGTCGCCTCGGGGGGGTCGTTGGGTTCGCTTGGGGCACCGTGCCCCCCGGCCTCAGCGCCTCCAGGACGGGTCCCGCTCTGCAAAGGATGGCCGCTGCGAGACCCTGCATCATCTGCTCTGGATACCGGCTGAGGTCACTGGAGTTGAGCTTTTCCCCCCTGGGGTGAGCTCCGTGGTTGCATCGCAGATCATGCCAATGGTGAAGGGGAAGGTCCGTTGACAATGTTGTGGACTTCACTACCACCTGGCCCAGGCGGCACTCGTCAAACTTGATGAGGGAGTGGTGGAGTGCGTTCGCCCATTGAATGTAGGCCCGTGTGACCCAGATCGATGAGCACCTCGCTGCGCTCGGGCTCTTGCTGCACTCCATTGGGTCCATTGGGTGCTCCAGGAAGGAGGAGCCCACCTGCGGGACCGTTGCCAGCGAGGTCAGGTACATCTGTCGGAGCATGAGCACGCTGTCGTTGTCCGTGTCCTCCATTACCCGGGGCTCCAGGTCCTCTAAGCCGCACAGGGTCTGCTCCGCCCTGCCCCTCACCGGCGGCGGGCCTCCCGGTTTGGGGAACCATCTGAGAATGCTCCACGTCCTGCAGTTGGGGCCGCCCCCCACAAAGGCGACCTTGCCCGCCATGGCCATGGAGCACATCATAGAGTAAGGCTCGTCTCCCAGCATGTCCTGTCCAAGATCTCCACCCTTTCGCCTGATGTCCACTGCCCAAATGTACTCCGAGAAGGCCGGGTTGTAGGCATGGAGGTAAGCATCCAGTGCCCCTCCCAGCGTACAGCAGGATGAGGGACGGCTTTGGCGACTCCGGCACCGGACGTGGCGTCCACCTTAGTCTGAGCCTCAGTCTTTCCGGGGTGTCTTGCATCCAGGGGAAGGTGGGGCTTGCCCCCCCTGGGGTTTCCGTGTGTCCTTTGTCTGACCCTCCGGTCATCTGGCCCTGGGCTTGCTGCTTGCCCTGACGGTTCTGAACGCCCCTTGCCGGGCGGATCCTCACCTCTGGGTCTCTCTGGGGGTTCTTCCCACTGCCTCGGTGGCGGGGGAAAGGCGTGCTTCCGCCCTTCTGGAGTGCCCTGGCTGGGTCCGCCCCTCTTCTTCAATGGAGGGGCTTCCGTGGCACCCTGGAGAAATCCCCTCCCACCTGCGGCCGTCCTGGCCTCCCCCGCTCTGTCTGCCTTCCGCTGTGGCTCTGGTGGGGTTGGCTCTCCCCCGCTGTGTGCACTCTCGCACTGGTGGCCTGTGATCCCTTCGGAGACCAGGCAGCCACAGGGCCTATGGCACTCTGAGTGGCCTCCTGTCACTTGGGAAGGTGTGGGCATGCCTGTGGCACATGCTTCGATGGGGGGGCATCACACACCCACCCATCCTTCCTGACCGGGCAGTTGTGGGATCGGCCGCATGATCCCGAACACTTGTTGTGAAGGTGATGATCTCTGCAGTACGCCACCCCTTTGGGATTCTTGAAAGCCCAGTGGTCTGGCCATGGGGTCGAGGAGGTGTTGGGGGACTTACCTTTGCCGCCCTTACCCTTCGGCTTGGACCGGGTCGGTCCCGAGGGCCAAGATCCTTTTCCCCCCTTCTTGGGCTTCTCCCACTGAGTCTGCCACACCTTGGGTGCCTTGCTCTTGCTCTTCCCCTTCTCCGGCGCCCTGTTGAGGTGCTCATAGACCTCCCGTTGCCAGAAGAGGAAGTCGCCCCTGATGTTCTTGAGGGCTTCGGAGAGAGTGGTGCCCTGGTGCACCATCTCGTGAATCTTGCGCCATGCATTGCGCTCTGCGAACAGCAAGGTGGTGTCGCTCGGGGGAGGTTTCCTGCCGGCTATGTCTTCCCCATAGAACCAGGCATACCAGTCATCCAACTCCTCCTTGGTGACCCTCAGGTTGCCAAACTGCGGCAGTGCTGCCGTGCACATCAGGAGCGTCGTCCTGAAGGTTAGGTGCAATCGTTCCAGCTGGCGCCGAGATGTGGGGTGGCTCCTCACCTCTTCTTCATCCTCCCTGTCCCAGCCGTCCACCGTGATCTTCTTGTGGGTGGATGAGGGGCGTTCCCCTTCTTCCGGGAGCGTGCTCACGATGTGTTTTGCCGGGATGTAGCCCAATTCGCCCTTGGCAATCATGCGCCATTGCTTCTTGAGGTAGCCATCACTACCTTGGAACTCGGGGTCCCATGCGTGGCCACGTAAGCATCTTCCAGCTGGCGCCTGTCACACAGGACCTCCAAGGGAGCCTTTGTCGGGCCTCCCCGGACCAAGTTGGCTGCCACCCGAACTGCCTGAAGGAGGCGCATCGCCGTGAAGCCGAGGTCTGGGCGTTGAACCCATTCTCTCCATCCTGGAATCCTAGGTCCCGGGGACCATTGTCCCTAGCCGCCGCCTGGATGACCCAGGGGATTTCCTTGCCCATCAGGATGGCCGC